CATCAACCAGGTCATTTATAAAGATGAAAAATAATAATGGTCCAAGGACCGATTATCTGTTTTAGACCATATGCCGATTGTAGATATTCAATTACTCCAAGAAAATCAATGTTAAAACCCATTGTTATAATTGTATCAGTATTAAGGCCTATGGCATTACCTATTGATTTGTCAATGAGATCCCAGTATGAGTTGATTTTGTCTGCTCTATAAAAAGATCCAATTAATACACTTCAATTTATGGATATGACCTGAGTCCATATACCTTCATGTCCAATTGTAGTTAATTGGTCCATTTGTTTAACGTGTAAACTAGTCCTGACATAATGTATATTGCGACGCCACCACCTCTAGTGTTGCGATCAAGCCTAAACGGTAAATGATAGCCAGGAATAGAGACTTGAATATCCGGAATGCCAGGATGCAACCACGTTTATGTCATACAGATATTATCATAGTGTTGTAACTCAGCAGCAGAGTAACATAATCATTTGTAGGATAACGTAGTAGAGGAGATGTGATCTATATATATAGATTACCCGCATTACAAAAATATAAACAATTATGGAACATGTGCGTGTTCTTTGAGTACATTGCTGTTGCAAATATGCCCACCGACTGGCTGTTATGTACAATATCAACCCCCATCGTCGAAGTTCATTTCAAGTCATGTATCATATACAGACAGACTATCGGTGATTGGAATTAGAAGTGTGAAGATGACTTCAAAATTAAATTCGGAAATAACAGGGATAACATACATGGTAATATGTGCACAATAGGGACAGTAAAACATAAGGATTTGCTGGGGAAAATGTAAGTGATAAAGATTGGTAAATTGAACAGTAAGAAGAAAGCCTAAAATCAAAGTCACCAAAGTTTGGTATGGAATAATGAGAAGCTAACTGAGGGGGGTAAATAATATAAGATATGTTTTCCTAACAGATTGTGTGAACAGAAGTCATAGATAAATATAAAGCAAAAACAGATAAATAAATAAAATAATAATATGAAGATTATGTCATTGTCATCAATAAACTAAGCTCACGCCCGGGGCAAGTCTAGGTACTGGCACGCCTGGATTAATTGCACGGACTCGGCACGTGCATATTGAGTGTGATAGGCACTCAGTGGATGACGTGACAAATTCATATGGCTATAAACTCTTGGATATGTGTAAAAACAACGCCATGTTTATCGTTAACAGCCGAGTTGGGACAGATAAGAAAGTAGGAGCAGTGACTTGTAAAAATTCTAGCGTAGTCTATCCTCTGCAGACTTGTTTCCTTTCTTTAAGGAATGTATCGTTAAAGAGTTCGATCCCATTTTCTCGGACGTCCATTGTCGAATTGAACTTCTTGTACACATCCAATCAGATATCTCACATCACGCGAATGATAACAGTACACAATCTAGTCATGAAAAAGCAAGCGCAAAACATAGTAGAAAATGGGATCCTAGCCTAATGATAAAGAACTGATAATCTTAAAGATGAAATTAATAGGATAACACAACAACTATGTGATAAATGCAGCTCAGCATATACACATTTGGCTTTAAAACGAGTAACAAGAAAATAAAATCTGAAAACTCATCTCCACCTTTGTTCGACACAAAGTGCTATACAGCTCGCAAAAAGTACCACAAATGTAAAAAAGAATTCGGACGCTATAAAACTATACACAATAGGCAATGCTTTCAAACTGCCCCTAAAACGCACAGTAAAGCATTAAAACAATCACGTTATGCATACAAGCAGAAGTGTGCGGAAACACTCACAGTGACCATGAACAAGGACCCCAAAACATTTTGGAATATCTTAAAATCATTTCGTAAAAAGGAATCTGATAAAAGTTTAAGTATTGACGCGTTGTTTGCATATTTTAAAAGTTTTAATGAAGCAGTCGATATTGATATTGATCATCTACCAAGTGATATATCTTATCTTGATATACCTATAACAGAAGATCTAGAAGAGGTAAGATCTGCTTGCAATAGGTTGAAATGCAATAAAAGTTGAGGATTAGATAACATATCTAACAAAATTTACCTGAAATTGTGTAATGTAATATTTGAGAATGGTGTTATCCCAGAAGCCTGGCTTCCCGGTTACATGAAGCCATTCTATAAAAACAAAGGCAATCCCACTGGGCCTGAGTATACCGCGGTATCTCACTTGTAAGTTGCCTGGCAAGCTTTTCACAGCTATCATAAATAGTCGGTTACAAGCTACTTCAGAAATTGGGGAAACACAAGCCGGCTTGTGAAAAAAACATTCAACTATTGATCACATATGCGTCCTTAAGTGAAAGTTTATACGAAAAGGTCAGTTTTAGCTATCCCAACTTTCTAGAGTTATGCAATACTGCTAAACTTATTATTGTACTTTTTAAATATTATGTATATTTTACAGCCCAAACCTGCTTTTTAATTCTCCAACGAAGAAAAAATATTTTATATGGCTAGTTACGGCTAGTATATTTGACATACCCCTTTTACACCAATATATTTATGCTGTATATACTGTGATATATTTTAAGTCTCTCGTAACCCTTAACGGTCTGTCCTTAAGTCCCTTATCGATATCGATCAATCATCTGGTGAAAAGTTAATTTGTGCTTACATTGATTTTCGGCACAGCGTTCGACACAGTATGGAGATCTGGGTTATGGCTTAACATGATAAAAAGTGACATTAGTGGGAAATGTTTTAGGTTAATGTACAACATGTGTCAGAATAATAAGTCGTGTGTTATGTATGATACTGACAATTCTTTTCACATGAAATGATGGAGTTCGCCAAGGTGAAAACTTGTCTCTTTTTCTGTTTGCGCTTCATATTAACAATTTGGAATGCTTTATGAGAGAAAATGATTTTGTGAATAATTATATCGAGAGTCATCTTGGTGTTCTCATAAAAATGTTCCTGCATCTTTAAGCAGATGACACTGTTTACTGTCGGAGACTGCTGCAGATTTACAGAAAGCTTTAGATACTTTTGGAAATTATTGTGAAGCATAAAAGCTAAAAGTCAATATAAATAAAACAAAGGTTGTGATATTTTCAAAAGGATACACGAGGAAAAGACTTAAGTTTACACTGCAAGGTTGTGAGATTGAAACTGTTAAACAGTATCTCTACTTGGGTGTATTATGGAAGGTTTTGTTTCGCTATCAAGTCCCTCAATGACCAAGCAAGTAGAGCCATGTTTGCAGTTATTAAACTCATTCGACAATAAGAAATCCCAGTTGATTGTCAGCTGAAGTTGTTTGATAACTTAATGCTACCAATATTGTTGTATGGCTCTGAAGTTTGGGGCTTTAAAAGATTAGGTATCCTACAGAGAATACATTTAGGATATTGTAAATATATCCTTAACGTTAAGCAAAGAACTCCAGATTATATGGTTTATGGCGAACGTGGTAGACATTACGTTAAGAACAACAAATCCCAGGCTAGCAATTGAAACTAGAAGATGGAATAATGTATATAGAAATGACAGACTGTGCTCACTTTGTAACACTGCAATTTGGGATGAATTTCAGTTTGTATTATGTTGTTATGAATTACAGGATCTCCGGAAATCTTTATTACCCAACTATCTTTGTCAATATCCAACTATAGACATATGTACCTATCTCATGAATTGTCAGTATCAGCCATTACTTATAAAGCTTTGTGAATATATCTAAAGTGGATTGTCCATATACATATCAATGCGAGATATTATTGATTATGATGAATGTGTGTATATTTGTTTTGTCCAAAATGACAAATGGAAGCACACAGTTACCCTAAGAAGTTAAACTGAAAGAATGTGAACCTGACATGCACCACCATCATTAAAATATTAAACATGTATTGCTTCTTTATGATCTGTTTATTAATAATAAAATTAAAACTCTTTATTTGATCATCTGACGGAAATACAAGTGAGCGTTTGCCCATCGTCCATCTTCCATCATAATTATCTTGTCATCAGAAACCACCGGACAAATGAAACTTAAACTCCACATGCTTGTTCCCACCAAATCAAAACAATGATCCCAATTTGCAGACATATCATCTGCACTTTTCTTATTGATGCCACATTTTGGACGATGTATAAAACTTTATGTACAACATTGATGGATGGATTTTGTAGTTGAACATGTTCTAGCTCTGAAGGGGTGAATTTGGCGTTTTGTGCCAGATGTCTTACATTGATGGAATTCTCTTGTCAACTGATATTTTCAAGGCCCATATTATCTTCTGTATCCTTAGTCCGTCCAAAATGGATTCAAACGCGGTAGGTTATGAACATCCTACGCATTTCGCAAGTGGGTATATTTTGTGGATACTATTACGGATGATACTACTACTCATGATGCTAATACAATTGCAGGAAGCCTTGGAACCCAACTAAACTCTCCTCAAAACTGGCAAATGACTGACAGTGAAATACCCATAGCTAACATATATCACAGGTTTATCCATGAAACAAACACAGGTGAGCTAATGAGACTAGCTCAAATAGTAGGCAAAAGTGAGATATACTTGGTGACTTTAATGCCCACAGTCCTTTGTGGGAGGACAGGCACGATTCGTGCAAATGCGGCAAAATCATTGAGAAATGTAACAATCTCATAACTCTAAATAACGGCAGTCCCACACGTTATGACCATGTCCTCAACACTTGGATTTCAAATTCACACAATAACATAACATAACATAACATAACATAACATAACATAACATAACATAACATAACATAACATAACATAACATAACATAACATCCGTATCACAACAGCAATCTAACTTGTCTTGTACGTGATGGTTCAATACTACTCCTCTCGTTTTCATAAGGAAGTCCGGATATAACCGACAGAAAGTAAACTAACTGGACGAACAACATTCCAATATTGTATGAATATATGCCGTTTGGACCAGATTCGAGAATTTACAGACCATCGCCATACAGCTGGAATACTACAGTGTTAAACAAGAAAATAGTACGTACATTATCTTCATTCTCTAAAGCTCTGAATGTTCAATATAACAATATTTCAGAAAGATCCTTTGAGTACATCCCTATTTCCAGACACTGTGATGGTAGAAAGTCGAATCACACTTACAGTTTCGCCATCGCGACGTGCAATCAGTCTGTGCGCCGTATTGAAAGACTCCTAAAACCTAGCCATATGTGCACATAATCTACGCAATCACGTGATGTCTGTTCAATACAGACATTTGCAAAAGTGATTACCCTTTTGTGCACGCAATGCGGGGCATGAGTATGTGATACGAGATAAGGAAACATACAGGGATATTCATTGTAGAAACATTTCCTTTCGAAAGCTTTAGTTACAAACATACAAACACTGCAATGATCTGATTCAAGTTAGAAAGCGGCCATGGTCTTCTCCTTGATTGTGTACTATCGGTTGAACATACGGGGCAGGTTGTCGTTTGTTTGAGAGAGAATATGTTTCGGTCAATGATTCAAGACATCAATTGTTTCTCAAATAAATTTAGGGAGAAGCAAGCAGTTTTTTAGACCAAAAACACATCATCTTATCAAGATATTCAGTGAAATGTTTTCTTTTATGGCGAAACCTGTGATCAATTTTCATTTACAATATTACCACAACAATATAATTTTCGATTTCACTGTTATTCTCCGAAAAGAACATTACACAAAAGCAAAAGTATTTTAATATAAATATATTTAACAAATGCTCACTGTATGTCCTGATATCCAAAATGTTTGGGCTCCCCTTTTCAGAGAACACTGATGTACAAGGCCGGTGAAGAAGGCAGAACTCAGCCCCGGCTCATTTGCGCCTGGGGTGAGATCACCGTGGAGTGTATTGAACCAGGGCTGAGATGACTCCCCCTTGGCTCAGAGCACTACACCCTCATTGGCCTTAATGTCTCCCCGGGCTCGAATATCTTTGTTTTCTTACTATTTCACATGTCCATGCTAGATGGTGTGTACTGGTATGTTTGTGCTTAAATTCATAAATCTATTGGAAGCGAATGTGGTGTTGTGGGGTGTGCGTGTTGACTGAATGACACATGTGCCCATCCCCCTGTTGATGTATCGCTTTCTCAGACATATGCATCCTGAGTACAACTTCAAGGTTCCCTATCACTACATACTTGTTTATCCCTTCACAAACTTACAAAAAACCCGAATAGTTTTACATTAAAAATATCTCAATTCGGACTTATGAAACCTTTTTCGAAGTGATTCATAGACACATGCTTATCATAAGTTGATATTGATTATAAATTATTTGAAACACTCGAATTACATAGGATCATAAAAACAAATTAGTCATAATCAATTTGGATCGAAACATGCGTCTGATGTTATGACCGCTTCACTGCGTACTTATCCAACACACTCGCACGGGGTATTCTCAGGACGACGACCCCTCGAATTTTTCCATTCGCAGGACGACGACCGCCGGTACGCCTTTGATGTGTGGTGTTGTTTTAGGAGGGGATTAACTCCTTGGTTAGTGTCAAAAACTGAAATGTGTTCACTGAATTGGTGAACTCCGATTTTGATAATCTAGTGAGTACCATTTACTCAACTGATTGACTGAACAGTTACTCTGTTATAAATCACCGAAAAAAATGGTAGTCTCTCACCATAGGAAATACAAACGTACCAATCCAAACAGAAAACCAAGAACCAAAATTCCATTACAATAAAGCTAACTGGGACCAATTCCAAGATATCTGCAACGAAGCTAACCTAAACGAAATAGAAAATAATGATCCAGAAACCTATTGTAAAAACCTAACAGACTATATAATAAACGCAGCCAAAACCTCCATCCCCTTCAAAACATCTAAGACAGGCAAACCGACGGTACCATGGTGGAATGAGGAAATAGAACAGACTAGACGAAAACGTAAATCAGCCTTCAATAAAGCAAAACGCGACTACAAATATTTAAACATAGCCCACGAACTAAACCACCAGGTTCAAAAACTAGTCCATATAGCCAAAAGTAGAGACTGGAAAAAATTCTGCGAAGGTATAAATAACCGTACAGATGCCAGAACGGTCTGGCGCAAAATCCACGCCATCAGAGGCTTAAAACGACATAAAAAAAACCCTAACATTGACAACTCAACCAACCCCGCCCAAAAAGCAAATAATCTCGCCAACCACTTTTCGGCCGTTAGCAGTAACACCAACTTCAGTAAAAAATTCCAAGATAAACTTAAAACAGAAAACAAACCCACAAAAGAACCAAACAATAACAATCTAGAAATAAATCAACCCTACACAATGGAGGAGCTCCTCTACGTAATCCAAAACAGGAAAAAGGGCACAGCCCCAGGATTAGACCTAACTTCTTACCAAATAATTAAAAAACTCCCCCTAAAACTACTCCAGGCACTACTCAAACTATACAATCTCATCTACCTAAACGGACAGGTTCCTACTCCCTGGAAACAGGCCCTAGTCATACCAATCCCTAAACCTAATAAACCAGCTAATCAAGCTAACTCATATAGACCAATATCCCTAACTTCAAACTTATGTAAAGTAATGGAATCAATGGCTAAAAATAGATTACAACATTACTTAACCCAAAATAACATCATAAACCCAGATCAAAGCGGTTTCACTCCTGGCCGCTCAACCCTAGATAACCTCACCCGACTAGAACAAGATATTAAGACAGGACAGCTAAATAAACAATATACCACAGGCATCTTCTTAGACTTCTCTAAAGCTTTCGACATGGTATGGCACGATGGGCTAATACAAAAACTTAAAAAAATAGGACTCAAAGGTCAGATAATAAACTACATCCAGGACTTCCTAAACAATCGTAAAATAACCGTGGGTATAGACCAAACTCTATCGGACCAATGTCCCCTAGAAAATGGTACTCCACAGGGCAGTATCCTCAGCCCCACCCTCTTCAATATAATGATAAACGATCTATTCGAGGGCCTATCCCCTAAAGTAAACACATCAAAATTCGCGGATGATGGAGCCATCTGGATCCGCACTAAAAGCATGAACATGGTCCAAAATTTACTCCAAAAATCTCTTAATAAAATACAACAGTGGGCTGACAAATGGGGCTTCTCCCTTAACTCAGAAAAAACAACAGGAATAGTATTCAAACATAAAAACATGAAACCTGCCTCCCCAATCCTCCAGCTAAACAATCAAACAATCAAATTTCAAAAACAAACCAAATTCTTAGGACTTATTTTCGATGAACATCTCACCTGGGATGCTCACATCCAAAACCTAACAACTAAATGCAGTAAAGGCCTAAACACCCTAAGATGCCTAACTGGTTCTAACTGGGGAGCATCCAAAGATACCCTCCTCTCTCTCTACATATCACTAATTAGATCAAAACTAGACTACGGCTGCGCCATATACAACACCCTAAACAACTCTCTATCTAAAAAACTTGTCTCAATACAATATCAGGCTCTCAAACTAATTACACGCACCCAACATGGCACCTCCTACACCTCACTTCAGGCCTTAACAGGAGAAATGCCACTAAGTCTACGCAGGGAACAGCTAAGCTTAAATTTCTGGGCCGCGTCCCAATCAAACCCTCTCATCCAAAACTTAATAAACCAAAACATCAGCCCCAAAAACCAAGCTCTAGCTCGTAAACACCCCTTACTTACCCCAATATCCCAAAGAATAACAAACTACCTAAATGAACACCAAATTAAAAATCTTAAACAAAACTGCAAACAATCAAATATCTTCACCCCTAAACTTAAAATACCCAAAATAGACACAACACTAGCTAGCCAAATAAATAAACAAACCGACCCAAACATAGCTAAAACTACCACACTAGCATACATACACGAAAATTGGCCAAATTGGTGTCACATTTACACGGACGGATCCTCAGATCCGACCTCCAAACACACAGGTTTCGGAGTCCATACCACACAACCAACTAAAGCCACACAATCCTTCCGACTCCCAAACAACCAATCAATATTCACGGCAGAACTAATGGGCATGGCCTCAGCCCTCCATAATCAAGAATCCAAAAACCACAAAAAAATCCTAATACTTACCGACTCCCTAAGTGGACTGCAAGCCCTCCAAAACAAAAATACCAAAAACCGACCTAAATTAATAAATCAAATACTTAAAAGCTCCAACGACCTAACTAAGGCAGGCAAACAAATAACCTTCTTGTGGATACCCGCCCACGTAGGAATATACGGTAATGAAAACGCCGATAAAGCAGCTAAACTATCCCTCAAAATCCCAGAAATAAGCTTAAACTTACCCATCTCAAAATCAGAAATTAAAAGTGTAAACAAGCAAAAAATCACCAAAAAATGGCATAACCTATATCTAAACTCAAATAGCCAAATCAAAAAAGTGCCCAGCAAACCACTAACCAAACCAAAAATTCTCCATCCATCCAAAAAAATCGACAGAGTAATCACTAAACTCCAAACAGGACACACCAACCTAAATAACCACCTAAAAAAATTTAAAAAACACACTACAGGTAACTGCCCACACTGCAAACAACCAGAAACCCCAGAACACGCACTCATCCACTGCACACACTACCTAACACATCGAACCGCATTACAAACCACCCTCAATCTAAACAAGGCTCTAACTCTAGAAGCAATACTAAACCCACAAAATAAACTAGAAAACTTCAAGGCCTTAGGCGTATTCTTAATCAAAACGGAACTAATAAAACGCATCTAAAAACACAATAACTCACCAAATCAAAATCACATAAACAAACAAACATCCACCATACCCAGCTCCCTTAGTTCTCCTCCCCAATCCCATCGGCATCTATTCCAAATCTCAAAATTCCCAAATTCTATATAAGCAACCCCTAAAACCCCCCTCTTGGGTTGCACAGACCACCTTCGCCCCTTTCGGAAACACATTAAATGGCCTGGCCGGGCCCGTGTGCGAAATACGCATCAGTCGGAAAGCGCACGTTAAATCTCCAAAGTAAGTAAGTAAGTAAGTAAGGTAGTCTCTCACACATTAAATCTCCAAAGTAAGTAAGTAAGTCAGGTAGTCTGTCATCATTCTCGATATGGCAAACGCGCAGGTACAGTACAAGTTTCTTTGTACTGGTGGCTAC